TCCCCAGACCCGGAACGCCGACGCATCGCCAACCTTCCCCGTCCACAGCAGGGCTGGGGAGGTCTCCGGTCGAGAGACCCTGGGGTGGAGGTTGATCTGGTGCGCAGCGTACCTGACCGCAAACGGCCACAGAAAATGGGGAGCAGCCGCATGCATCATGGACGTACGAGCGACGTCCATGACCATGCCAATGCGGCGCTCAGCAATCCCATTTTGCTGTGGTGAGTCCGAAAGCGTGAAGGTCCGACGGATGCCTCGCGCACGACAGTAGGCACTCAGGAGGCCAGAGGAGAACTCTCCGCCTCTGTCCGAGTGCAGACGCAAAACACGGAAGTCAGAGCCAAAGCTCCTCCGAAGCTGGAGACGAGCTGCGCGGATCCAGTCGATCAACACCTCAGTGACCTCACCCTTGCTGCGCAAGGGGAAGAATGTGGTGTAACGCGAGTAGTCGTCAACCACCAGCAGGAAGTAGCGCTCCTGACCCTGTCCACGGACGCGGGCTGGGCCCCACACGTCCATGTGAAGCGTCTGCAACGGGGCCTCTGTCGGAGGAAACTGGGAGGAGTGAGGGGCAGCACGCTGGCGTCCCTCGACACAGGGGACACAGGTAGGGCCAGGGCCCGGAGGAAGGGGAGGGAGAGACCGGGGAAGACCAGACACAAGGACTCGCGAGGCCATGCCTCTGAGCCGAAGCAGAGAGGGGTGGCCAAGGCGGTGGTGCCAGAGGAGGGTCTCGTGAGACAGACGACGACACGAGCAGGGGGCAGACTCAGGACCAGACCTGGACGCTGCAGCAAACACCTGACCAGACGAAGGGACCCTACCAGACGTAGCACCTGGAGGAGAAGCAGTGGTCAGTGTGTACAGGCTCGACCCTGGCCGACGTGTAAACGTAGCCAGGTGGCGACCTGTATCCGCCTCCGTGCAGTGGGTCACCCGCTGACGAGCAGGGGTGAACTGGTGGACACCCGCATCCTGGAGGTCAGCACCACTCACCAAGTTCGTCGAGAACGAGGGGAGGTAGAGACCAGTCAGGGTGCCAGAGGGGGCCGCCGGACACGGGAGGACAGTGGAGAAGCGAGACAGGACAGGCCCCCCAGAGGGGTCAGCCAGGGACACCGCAACCGGCCGACTCAGCGGCGTGAGAGTGGTGCGGTCCCTAAAGAAGGAGCGAGACGCTCCAGAGTCAAGGGTGAAGGTGTGAGAGGCCGAAGCCGACACAGTACCTGAGAGGGCAGACTCACCAGCACCTGAGAGCACAGACGCACTGGCACCTAGAGCAGCAGCCTCACTAGTACCTGACGCGGCAGTACCAATGCCCGGGTCGGGCGGGAAACACCGGTAACAGTCATCCTCATCACTACCAGTCACAGCATACATAGCAGAGAGAATAGCATCAAAATCAAGATCATAAATAGCTACACCAGCCCTAGACAGCTCTCCCCAGCGGGGGATCTCAGCGGCCTCCGGAAACTGCTGACGCCAGGCGTCGGTCAGGCGGCCAAAGCAGCGGCGGGCTGTGTGGGCGCCTCCACACCTCTCCCCCGCACGGTCACCAGTGCGAAGAACGTAGGGGCAGGGACCAAGCGCACCACCACGCTGACGCTGCAAGTACCACTCACGGAGCTGCTGAGGGGCGGGGACGGTGCGAGAGCGCTGCTGCTGCTGTGGCTGCTGCTGCGGCTGCTGCTGCTGCTGCTGCTGGCGCTGACCACCCCCAGAGCTGCTCCGCTGGGACGAGCCACTCCGACCCCCGCCTCCACCGCCACCCCCGCCTCCACCGCCACCCCCGTCTCCACCGCCACCTCCCCCACCAGGACCGTCGCTCCCACCGCTCCCACCGCCTCCTCCGCTACCACCTCCGCCGCCACCTCCGCCTCCACCGCCGCCACCAGTACCTCCACTCCCGCCACCACCCCCACCGCCACCCCCACTCCCCCCGCCACCCCCACCGCCTCCTCCACCGCCCCCTCTAGCTCCACCCGCTCCCTTGCCCCCCTTGCCCTTGCCAGAGCGGCGTCTGCCGCTGGGGGCAGACGCCGCGCCGACCGACTCAAAACCAGTGAGGTCGGCCGCAGCGGCAGAGGCGACAGAGGGCAGCAGGGGGGAAGGACCACACCCCTCAAAGATGGGGGTGCGAGGGTCACCCCGAGAGGCCCCTACAGCGACAATACTCTTCTCAGCCGCTAGCAGGGACTCCTCAAGGAGGTCGACAGTGAGAGTGGTGGGACAGACAGAGAGAAACTGGTCCCTAACGACACGAAGGGACTCAGGGAGACGGGTGACGAGAAAGTAGAGAGTGATGTACATGGGAGGAGGGTTCGCAGCGCGGAACTCAGCAGGAAGGGCAGCGCGGTAGCGGGTGTCACTAGCACGGAGGTGGGTAACGAGGTCAGCGACAGTGGGAAAGGAAGCGAGGTCAGGGAAGAGAAACGGTAGCATGAGGCGGCTAAGGGTAGCGGAGGAAGGGGAGGAGTAGCGTGCAACTACAGCGTCGTACAAGGCCTGAGCGGTCTTGCACTGACTAAAGTGGGCACGCTCAGAGGAAGGGAGGTGGCGACGCACAGCAAGACGTGCAGCAGCATCGCGGGTCGCCCACTTGGAGCGAACGGCAGAGTCAGCATCAGCAGGTGGGGTAGGGACAGCGCCAGAGACAAAGTCAAAGAGAGAGACCTCATCTACCGCATCACACAGTAAGTACAGCTGCAGGTCTTCAATCCAGACGGCAAAGTCAATGGCCCTCCCCTCAGCGTCAAAAGTAAGAACATTGGGGGTGGCCATGGCAGCAGCTGAAAGTCTCACCGGGCTGGGAGAGTCGGGTAGGTCAGCAGCAGAGGAACACAGCTCAGGAACAGCAGCACGGCTCCTCAGGCGGCTCGGGCGGCTCGGGCGGCTCGGGCAGCTCGGGCGGCTCGGGCGGCTCGGGTGGCGTAGGGGCTCACGGGCGGCGCGGGCTGCTGGGGCTGCTCACGTGCAGCACGGCGGGCTGCAGCTCGGGCCGTGGGGAGGGCTGTAGCGGGGCCGACGGCGGGCCGACGGCGGGCTGTAGCGGGGCCGGGGCGGGCTGTAGCTGGGCCGGTGGCGGGCTGTAGCGGGGCCGGCGGCGGGCTGTAGCTGGGCCGGCGGCGGGCTGTAGCAGGGGCCGGTGGCGGGCTGTAGCGGGGCCGGCGGCGGGCTGTAGCTGGGCCGGCGGCGGGCTGTTGCTGGGCCGGCGGCGAGCTGTAGCTGGGCCGGCGGCGGGCTGTAGCAGGGGCCGGTGCGGGCTGTAGCGGGGCCAACGGCGGGCCGTAGTGGGGCCGGTGGCAGGCTGTAGCGGGGCCAGTGGCGGGGTGTAGCGAGGCCAGTGGCGGGCTGTAGCGGGGCCGACAGCAGCTGAAGCGGGGCCGACGTAGGGCCGTGGCGGGGCCGACGAGGTCTGGGCGGGGCCGACGAGGGGCCGAAGTGGGGCCTAGGCGGGCCGGCGGGGCCTAAGCGGGGCCAACGCGGGGCCGACGGGGCCTAAGCAGGGCCAACGCGGGGCCAACGGGGTCTAGGCGGGGCCGACGCGAGGCCAAAGCGGGGCCCTAAGCGGGGCCGACGGGCCTAAGCGGGGCTACGCGGGGCCGACGTGGGGCCTAAGCGGGGCCGACGGGGGGTTACGCGGGGCCGACGTGGGGCCTAGGCGGGGCCGACTAGGAGCCGACGGGGTCTAGGTGGGGCCGACGCGGGGCCTAAGTGGGGCCGACGGGGGCTACGCGGGGCCGACGAGGGGCCTAGGCGGGGCCGACGAGTGGCCTAAGCGGGAGCACGACGGGGAGGGCGACACGGAGGGTCGTTAAAAAAAAAAATGTGCGCCTCGGGGCGCGCTTCGGTGGGCCCTAGGAACAGGCCCTAAGAAGGGACCTGCTCTGATTCCATGAGAAAGTGTGAACGAGGATGGATGACTATGAAGTGAAGTGAATACAAATAGGAAACCCTAATTGTGTTGTACCCCCTATGGGATACCCCACTATAGCCTACAGAAACAAGTAAGCTATATGTTCTGACACACTAAGAGTAGCCATCGCGGGCGAAGCAGTTGGGCGTGCTAGCAACAGGGCATGACGCAGGCAGGGCAAAGCAGTGCGGCGGCCAGCAGGGCGGCGCACAGGTGGATTAGGGCAGGGCGGCTCGGCGTCGAGTGGCGCGCGGGCAAGGCCGGGCAGGGCGTGCGGCGGCGAGGCGCGCGGGCAGGGCTGCGGCGCAGCGGCGCGCGGGCAGGGCTGGCGTGCGCGAGCAGCGCGACGCAGGGCAGGGCGTGTGCGGGGCAGCACGATGCAAGGCAAGACAGGGCAGCGCGGCGCTAACAGGGCGGCGCGACGTGTGGGGTAGCGCGATTCGGTGGGCCCTAAAAAAAAACTGGTCCTCGGAGAGGACCTGCTCTGACACCATGCCAGAATAACGAGGCAAGAATGAATGGACTAGCACCAAGATGGGTACAAGTATTAACCCTAAATTGTGTTGTACCCCATATTGGCTACCCCACTACACCCTACACAAAATGCAACATATAAGTTTGACAGTAACCTACAAAAGTTAAAGCCCGCGTTTAGAATGGTAGATTTTCAAAAATACTGGACTTGAAAAGTTGTAAGCGAGCTTTAGCGAGAGATATTTCGTGAATTCTGGCTAGGCGAATGCGAAAACATTCCACGAGAACATTCTCTGCTCGCTACAGCGAACACTGCGCAGGAAACACTGCGCTCGCCACAGTGAACAGTGCGCTCGCCACAAAAAACACTGTGCTTGCAACAAGAAACGCTGCGCTCGCCAACACGAAACTCTCCAGAAAAAATAGTGCACTAGTAACACAAGATTAGGACTGAGTAAATTAGAACACAAGATTACACGAAATACATACGTAGTCAAATGAGCAATAGTCTACGACATTATTGGCTACAACTAACACACACAGATCACGAGCTTCTGCGAGTCAACATGAGAAAGTCAACACAACACCGATTTTCTTTGTCTTGATCATATCATTTCCCTTTGAGTAGGGAGAGGACGGCAAGCAGTGCAAGGAGAAAAGGAACGCAGAGGAGAGATGGGTTGCAACACAAGATTTGCAAAAGAAACCGGGGCAAGGCATGATCATGGGAAGATGGAGGCGAGAGGAAGGACAAGGGGGGGGGGGGGACCGGACAAACAAGGAGAGTTGGGGAGGGGCAGTGAGTGAAAGGAGAGGGTTTAGGATAGGAAAGGGGAGGGACGGGAGTGTGGTAAGTAGGAGGGTAGGCAGACCGTGGGGAGGAGAGCTGAAGGGAGAGGAGGGGGATAGGCCCATCATCGCTGAGGTGGAAGGGTGGGGGTTGAGAGGGAAAGGATGAAAGTGCAGAGATGGACGGAGAGGGATTGATAGGTAAGGGAGGTGAGGGGTGCAGAAGGACGTGTGGAGATCGGCCGAGAGCGAAAAGAGGAGATGGGCCGAGAGGAAAAGGGTTTGAGGGTAGCTGAGAGGGAATGGAGGAAAGGGGTTGATACAAATACGAGAGGGCAAAGAGGGGAGGGAGGAGAGGAGAGGAGGGGCTGCGATGAGTCGGGAGGATCTTGCCTGAGAGGGATTGGAGGAGATGGGCGGACGGGAAATGGGAGAGGAAGTGACAGAAGAGAGGGAGGAGCACCCCGGATACGGAAATGGGGCATCCGCGATCGCCTCAGCGTAAGAGCGTGGGGTCGGGATGTCTGGAGCATCCGCGTCTCCCTCAGGGGCAAGCAGCATGGACACGAGATGAGGTGCAGCGGCTGCAAGAAACTCAAGGTCCTCCTGCTTGTCCTCGAGGGCGTCCGTGCTAAGAGCACACTCACCCCCGACGGACGGAGGACAGACAGACTAAGACTCAGCAACAAGACTAGTGGCGTAGTCTAGACGACAGGCAGCAGCAAAGTCAACAAGCTCAGCGACTAAGGCAGACGCAGCAGCAGACTCAAACGACGGATCAGTGACAACTGTGGCTAGCAGACGTGGAACAGTAGGGTGGGCAGCACGGGTGCGGTCAGACTCAGGCTTAGGAACGGTAGGCAGAGAAGACGCAGGAGGGGACGGCAGGGGAACACACTGCGGAAGAGAGGAAGGACGATGGACGACGAGGTCGGTGCCGGAGACAGCCGGCTGACGCGAATGAGGGACACGACGACCGGAACGACCAGAACGGACAGGCGAGATAGGACGCGACGCAGGCTCACGACACTCAGTAAGACCCCCTGTCTGCTCAGTGTAAGGAGAAGGAGCATGCAGTGGTGAGTCAGGATGTAATGGAAGACCAGTAGACGAAGGGAGACTAAGAACCTGGCGAAGCACAGAGTCAGGCGGTGGCTGGGACGATGGAGACGGAGGAACAAAGAACAGGCGCGGCTGTGGAGTGCCACCAGCACCAGCAGCTCCAGTACCTCCAGCAGCTTCAGCACCTCCAGCAGCTCCATAACCCTCAGCGCCAGCTCCTCCAGGACCAGCTCCACCAGCAGCAGCACCCCCAGAACCGGCACCTCCAGTCCCAGGGTCTCCAGCCTCAGTGTCTCCAGCAGCAGCACCCCCAGACCAAGTGTCTCCAGTAGCAGCACCCTCAGGCTCAGCACCTCCAGCCCTAGTAGGTTTAGTACTCCCAGTACGAGTACCTCCGGGACCAGGACCAGCTCCAGCGCCACCAGTGCCAGCACCTCCAGCGCCACCAACGCAAGCACCTCCAGCAACTCCAGAACCTCCAGCGCCAGCACCCTCAGCAGCTCCAGAACCTCTACCAGAGACAACTCCAGTAGCAGAGTCACCAGCTCCAGCGCCTCCCGCAGCAGGGCCCCTAGCTCCAGCAGCGCGACCCTGACGGCCAACGTACCACTCACGCAACTGCTGTGGGGAGAGAGGGAGTCGACGACGAGAGTGGAGCGGCGAGGCACCAGCGGATCGACTACGGAGACGGCCGCTCCAAGGTGACTGCTCACCAGACGCCTCAGCGCCTCCAGGTGCAACACCCCCAGACTCCTCACACTCAGGCTCAGCACCTCCAGGCTCCGCACCCCCAGGCTCTGCACCCCCAGGCTCCGCACCCCTAGGCTCAGCACCCCCTGGCTTAGCACCCTCAGAAGCAGCACCCCGAGCAGGACCACTCTCAGCAGGACCTGAGTAACCAGTGACCTCAACCGGCGCAGTCAGAGGAGGGTCTACCTGAGACACACCTGAAGGAGCAGGACCAGGAGCTGGGAGGGGATCTACCTGGGGAGCACCTGGAGCGAGGAAGAGCGGCGGGGGGGGGAGAGGGGCAGTGCGGTAGGGGAAGAAACGGTAAAAGGGAACCGACTCGTCGAACGTGACGTCCTGAAAGGGGAAGACACGGCGCGAGGTGGGGTGGTAAAACTGCCAACCAGCCGTGTCAGAGACAAAGCCAAAGAAGACACAGGGAACAGCGCGGGCGGAGAGCTTGTCCGGGACCTTCCCGGACAAACAACGCGGATCCAAAGGATCAAACCATCAGGGACCTTCCCCTTGCGCTGCAAGGGGAAGACCGTGGTGTAACGCGTGTAGTCGTCGACGACCAGCAGGAAGTACCGCTCGTGGCCCTGTCCACGGACACCGGCTGGGCCCCACACGTCCAGGTGAGTCTGCAGGGGAGCCTCGGTGGGAGGGAACGAGGAGGAGTGAGGAGCGACGCGCTGCCGCCCCTCGACACAGGGAAGACAGGGAGGAGCAGGCGAGGGTGGGAGGGGAGGGAGAACCCTGGGAAGACCAGAGACAAAGACACGGCGGTGCATGCTACGAAGGCGCTGCACCGAGGGGTGACCAAGACGGTGGTGCCAAAGGAGGGTCTGGTGCGACAAAGCGCGACACGAGCAGGGGGCCGCTAGCTGACTTGACGCAGACGCAAACGCAGCGACCCGAAGGAACATAGTAGTCAGTGTGTACAAACTCGAGCCAGGCGCACGGCTAAACGTGGCCAGGTGCCGGCCCGTCCGGGAGCACGTACAGTGGGTCACGCGCTGACCTCCAGGAGTGAACTAGTCAACCCACTGGTCGTGGAGGTCAGCACCACTCACCAAGTTCGTAAAGAACGAAGGGAGGTGAAGACCTAACAGGGAGCCAGACGGGACCACCAGACACGGCAGGACCGTGGACGAGTGCGCAAGGACTGGACCCCCAGAGGGGTCTGCCAGGGAGACTGGAACCGGCCGGCTGAGCTGCGTGAGGGTGGTGCAGTCGCGAAAGAAGGAGCGGGAAGCACCTGAGTCAAGTGTGAACGTGTACAAGGCCTCAGCAGGCGTAGTACCAGAGAGCGCAGACTCACCAGCACCTGGAGCAGCAGCCTCACCGGCACCCAGAGCAGGAGACGCATTAGCACCTAGAGCAGCAGCCTCACCAGCACCTAGAGCAGGAGACGCACGAGCACCTAGAGCAGTAACCTCACCAGTTCCGAGAGCAGCAGGCTCTATACCTGGGTCAGGCGGTACGCAAACGTAACAGGCACGGTTAGCACTAGTAGGCAATGCATACATAGCAGTGAGAATAGCATCATAGTGAAGAGCAAATATATCTACCCTCTGCCCAAGCAGCTCCACCCAGTCGGGGAGCTCAGCCTCGTCGCCAAACTCGGTACGCCAGGCGTCGCTCAGACGGGCAAAGCAGCGGGACTGTGTGTGACTAAGCATCCCGCAAGCCTGACCAGTCTGATCTTCTATGCGAATGACATACGGGCAGCGAACGGTACTCAAAGACCCTCTACTCTGAGCGTACCACTCACGAAGCTGCTGGAGCGTAAGTGTCCCGCGCGGACGCCGCTGCAGCTGCAGCTGGCCACTGCCAGACGCTCTCGACTAGCCAGCTCTAGGGCGACAGCCACGACGGCTGCGGCCACAACCCCAACTAGCGTACCACTCACGAAGCTGCTGGGGCGTGAGAGACTCGTGCGGATGTCGCTGGAGCTGCATCTGGCCACTGCCAGTAGCAGCAGTTGCAGTGGTAGTGGCAGTAGTAGCAGCAGCAGCGCGGGCAGGGCAGGCGCGGCACGCAGGTAGGCAGACAGGCAGGCAGGCTGGCTGGCAGGCAGGCAGGTTGGCAGGCAGGCAGTGCGCTAACAAGGCAGGTGCTCACCAGTAGCGGGAAGAGCAGGCGCTTGCCGGGCGAGCAGGGCCGGCGCTCGGCTGGCGGCAGCACGGGGTCCAGAGGCGGCGTCGCGGGTCCAGGAGCGGCTGCACGGAGTCCAGGGGCGGCTGCTTCAAGGGCCAGGGGCGGCTGCTCTGGGCCCAAGGGCGGTTGCTCGAGGGTCCAGGGGCGGCTGCTGCAGGGGCCAGGGGCGGCTGCTCAGGGTCCAGGGGCAGCTGCTCGAGGGTCCAGGGGCGGCTGCACCAGGGGCGGCTGCTGTAGGGGCCAGGGGCGGCTGCTCAGGGTCCAAGGGCAGTTGCTCGAGGGTCCAGGGGCGGCTGCACCAGGGGCGGCTGCTTCAGGGGCCAGGGGCGGCTGCTCTGGGTCCAGGGGCGGCTGCTCGAGGGTCCAGGGGCGGCTGCACCAGGGGCGGCTGCTGCAGGGGTCAGGGGCGGCTGCTCTGGGTCCAGGGGCGGCTGCTCGAGGGTCCAGGGGCGGGTGCACCAGGGGCGGCTGCTGTAGGAGCCAGGGGCGGCTGCTCCAGGGGCGGCGTTGGGGCAGGGCGGGGCCGCATCGGCTGTCAGAGCGCGGCACGAGGGCCGTAGGGGTGCGCGAGGGCGGGGCCGAGTCGCGCGCTGCCAAAAAGGGGCGGCGCGGCGGGCAGGGAAGGGCGGCTCGCGGGCCCTACAGGTGCGCGACAGGCCAGGCGGGGTCGCGCGCTGCCAGCAGGGCAGCGCGACTGGCTCCCATGGGCGGCGCGAAGGCCCTAAGGCGATGCGAGGGGCGGGGCCAGGCCCTAAGGCGGCGTGACGAGAAAATAAGACAAAATTAAACGCGCGTCGCGCGGCTAGCAGGGCGGCGCGGCGGGTGGAGCAGCTCGACAGGCAGGGGAAACCCTAAAACATGAGAGTTAACGGTGGGCCCACTAGGAAATTTGGTCCTAAGACCTAAGTGCTCTTAATACCATGTTAGAGTAGGTTGGTAGGGATGATGTGCACTATGGAGAGAATTGGTACAAGGAGAAAACCCTAAGGGGTTATACCCCACAGTATCTACCCCACTACAGCCTACCCACAAATATAATTTATACGCATACGTTTGACAGAGGGGAGAGGCGGAAAAGGGATGGATGGAAGTTGGAAAGAGGGAACAGAAGAGGGGGGACAGAGGGACGGGAGACTGGAAAAGGGGGGGGCTTGGAGGGTCGGAAACAGCAAGATGGGAAGGGGAAAGCCGCGTAAAGAAAAGTGAATGCTGCGCGTAGGGCACGGGGAAATGGGGAACCTGTGCTTAGGGAAGTGGGGAAGCTGCGCATAGAGAAGGTGAGGAATTGCACGTAGGGAAGAGGGGAAACTGTGAGTAGGGTGGGGGGGGGACTGCGAGTAGGGAAGGGGGAGGAACTGCGCATAGGAAAAGGGGAGAGGCGAAGAGGGAAGGAAGGCGAGAGGCGGAGGGACAGAAGGGAAGAGAGCAACGGGAGCGACGTTGGCGGCGGGAGGGACGGAAGGGGGGCGAGTGAGGCGGGAGGGAAGAAAGGTCTCTTCAGTCCTCCTCCCTACTCTTCGGAGAATGGTCAGAGGGAAGGAAGGAGAGAAGCACGGAGAGGAAGGAGAGGGGCTGAATGGGAAGGGGGAGTAGTGCGTAGGGAAGGGGGAGCAGCGCGTAGGGAAGGCGGAGCAGCGCGTAAGGAAGGGGGAGCAGCGCGTAGGGAAGGGGGAGTAGCGGGTAGGGAAGGGAGAGTAGCGCGTAGGGAAGGGGGAGCATCCAACTCCGCGGCCTGCTGGAGAGGGGAGAGAGGAGGAACGGGTGGAAAATGGGGAGGGAGGAGGAACGGGGGGAAGAGGGAGTGAAGGCGAGAGGGAGAGGCGAGAGATAGAAAGGAGGGAGGGGGCAAAGAGGCAAGGGAGGAGAGGAGAGGAGAGGGACTGGAGGAGAGGGGCGAGAGGGACATGTGTGATTGAGTCGTGTATGGCGCGTGTGGGTGACATGTGTCTGCGACGTGTGCGGATGACGGGAGTGAGAGCGCGACGGGAGTGAAGGCGCGATGGGTTTGACGGCGCGACGGGAGTGACGGCGGAACGGGAGTGAGTGTGTGAGCGACGGGATTGAGTGTGTGAGCGGCGGGATTGAGTGTGCGAGCGACGGGATTGAGTGTGTGAGCGACGAGATTGAGTGTGCGAGACGGGATTAAGTGTGTGAGCGACGAGATTGAGTGTGCGAGACGTGATTAAGTGTGCGAGCGACGGGATTGAGTGTGCGAGCGACGGGATTGAGTGTGTGAGCGACGAAATTGACCGTCGAGGTGTCATAGCCGATTTCGCTATTGGCTATGCGTGTGTCGGCTAACGCGATATAACCGTCAGTAGCGACGAGTGATTCTTACTATGGCGATCAATCGAGGCGTCATTCTGTATTTTCTGTTGGCTACCAGATCGTACTTGTTATGCGCGGGAAAGTCGACGGGAAGGGCCGTCATTATGTGTTACTAAAGTCTTAGCATAGTACGGAGATGGGCGTAACTATGCTTGGATAACGACGAGAACTAGGGCTATGGAGCCCACTATCCTACGAGTCTAGAAAGGTATTCTCGAGTTTCAAGTTCTGAAAGTGTGAACAGTTATACTTGTTCTTGTTTGTTTCTGGCGAGGCTCGTCGCTGTTTTTGCTGTTGACCATTTGGCCAATCACCTTCTGGCCCACCAAATCCCTTCTCGGTGGGTTGCGACGGAGAAGCTTTCTCAACATGGTTACCCTATTCTTGACGAAATCAAGTTCAAGAAAATGAAGTTGAACCCTTACCATTCTAGACTCGGGCTTTAAGCGCGACTCGGGACTTAATGTTCAAAGTTTAACCTAGATAGTCGAACACTTGTGTGCCTTGTGGTACATGTGAAGCTAGGAACAACAGCTCGAGCTAAATGAATCTATATAGTCGAGCCTAGGCCGACCTAGGTTCAAATGGTAGAAGTTCAACAAAAAAAAAAAAAAAAAAAAAAAAAAACAAGTCTTGCAAAACACTATATAAAGAAGACACACGCCATTATAGCTTTGGTTTGGTGAGAGCACCATCTTGGAATGATGCACAATTGTTACGTGTGCAATTGACTGAGCGAGCGAGGATTGCACTATCGAAGCAAGAGTCCAATGAGCGAAGGCATGAGCGAAGAATATATAGCGAAACTACAGTGGTAACGGTAATGAACTGTGGTTGTCGCGCGACAGGCCTGGGACTGAGGTTGGGGAAAATGTCGAAGCAGAGGCCTGGAGCGCGGGTTACCCGCCGAGCCGTGAGGTCGGGGTGCGACGTCCGAAGGTGGCGGGAGGATTGTCGATGCGAGGGTTGTGAGTGGTAACGGTGCTGACTGTGGTGCTACAGTGGTGTACGCGCTGAGCGGGGACGCGAAGTAAGGAAAAGGAATTTTCCTTACACTACCCCCCCCCTCCTAAGGAGGTCCTCCTTACGAAAGCGCGTGTACATCCCTGAAGTTCCGGCTGCGCAGATACTCGGTGAGGACGGGGTGGTTTTCGATTCTGTCCAGGAGAACCCAGTTGTCTTCGGTGGGTGTACAGTCTTTCCAGCGGATCAGGAACTCGATCCTTTGGGCTCCTCGAGGGTCACGAACTCTGTGACTCAGAATCTTCTCGGGGGTGATGATTGGTTCAGTCGGCGGTCGTGTCATGCTGGCTGGGCGATTGCGTGGGAGTTGGCTTGTGGACGGGACGTAGGGGCAAAGCAGGCTGACGTGGAATGAGGGGCTCACGTACCAGTCAGCGGGGAGGAGGAGGTGGGCGGTGACGGATGTGATCATGTGGCTGATGCGAAATGGTCCACAGTATCGGGGGCGCAGTTTTGGGGTGATGGGCACTCGGAGGTTCTGAGTGTCGAGTAAAACTAGGTCGTCAGTGTCAGAATGTTATGTTTGTCTAGCCTGCAGTGGGGTACTCAATAGTGAGTACAGCCCAACTTAGGGTTTCCTATATGTACTCAACTGCTTGCTAGTGAACCCCTCTCTTCTTCATTTCCTCGTTTCTTAACTTGCTATCAGAGCATCTACGGTCCTGGCCTGTGGGCCCACTCAACTGCTTCCGCTGCTACTCTGTGTTCGGCACGCCCAGTGGCGTGCCCCTCGCGCTACTCTTAGCGGCCCCGTTGCCACCCTTCCAGGACCCTCGCGGCCCCTTCGCGGCCCCGTTGCCGCCCTTCCAGGCCCCTCGTGGCCCCTTCGCGGCCCCGTCGCCGCCCCTTTCGCGGCCCGTCGCCGCCCTTCCAGGCCCCTCGTGGCCCCTTCGCGGCCCCGTCGCCACCCCTATCGGCCCCGTCGACGCCGCCAGCGGCCCCGTCGACGCCGCCAGCGGCCCCGTCGCCGACCCTAGCGGCCCCGTCGCCGCTCCTATCGGCCCCGTTGCCGCCGCCAGCGGCCCCATCGTCGCCTCCAGCGGCCCCGTCGCCGACCCTAGCGGCCCCGTCGCCGCCAGCGGCCCCGTCGCCGATCCTAGCGGCCCCGTCGCCGCCCCTATCGGCCCCGTCGCCGCCTCCAGCGGCCCCGTTGCCGCCACTTGCGGCCCCGTCGCCACCCCTTTCGGCCCCTCCTCGACCCTGCCCCGGCCTCGCCCCGGCCATGCCCCGTCGCCAGCCGCGGCGCACCGGGGGCATGTGCACCGCCCCCCCCCCCCTTTTCTCGTCGCCTGTCGAGGCGACCTGAGGGGCGACCTGGGGGAGGGGGGCGAGCATCGCCCCTTCTGCCGCCTGTTTTGGCGCCCTGGGAGACCGCGCGTCGCCCCCCCCCCCCCCCTAACCTCCCTACCCGCCGTCCCGCCCTGCCCTGTGTTAGGGTCTGGGGGTGGCGAGTAGGGGGTGACGGGTGTGTGGTCTCCCCTGCTCCTCCTCCTCCTTCGTCTCCCACTGCTGTAGCTGTCGCTGAGGGGGGTGGATGTGTGGGAGCCTAGGGTTTAGGGTTTAAGGGGGGTGCTGTGGGAGTGGAGCTAGGGTTTTGAGGGAGGTGGATGTGTGTGAGCCTGCGGTTTACGGTGTAAGGGGGGTGCTATGGGAGTGGAGCTAGGGTTTGAGCAGGGGGTGTGTGGCGAGAGGTGTGGGGCAGTTGGAGGAGGTTGGTTGAACGGAGGTTGTCGTCGTGTCGTCAGCAGCACGAGTAGTCCGGGGCGCTGCTCCGGTAGCCCAGTCGTAGCCAGCTGTGCCAGTCGCCCGTGGGTCCGTTGCTCGTCTGCCGCTAGTCTTAGCCGCGGAGCCAGTTACTCCAGTAGTCCGGAGCGCTGTTCCGGTAGCCGTTGTGCCAGTGTGACTCCTGTTGCCCGTGTGTCTGCAGCTTCAGCCGTCGCCTCCTATCTCCTCTCCTCTTACAGTCTCGCCTCCTCCTCCTCACTTGCCCTTTGTGAATGACTCTAGCTTTGCTCGCTATTGTGAACTCCTGCTCTATGCCTGCTTGCTCATTGTGCTGATTACACCCCACTTTGGCTATGGGGGTGTGTCAGAATGTTATGTCTGTCTAGCCTGCAGTGGGGTACTCAATAGTGAGTACAGTCCAACTTAGGGTTTGCTATATTTACTCAACTGCTTGCTTGAACCCCTCTCTTCTTGATTTCCTCGTTTTTTAACAGTCAGGTTGGTAAGTGACAGGTCGGCGATGGCGGTCGGCGTTGCATTTAGCGATGACGTTCGATTTTTTTATTGCGTCTGCTGCCCGGGTCCGTGCTGCTTGAAATATTTCGGCGAACTGTTGTGCTCGTGGCACTGGGTTGTCCGGATTCGGTGTCATGGGTACTGTCGGGTCTTGTCCATAGTTTAGGTAAAATGGTGACTATTGGGTCATGGCGGATGGTGAGTTGTTGTATGCGAATTCAATGAGTGGCAGCTGTTGTTCCCAGGTGGTTGGGTCGTCGCACGTGGCTCGGATGAGTTGCTCCATAGTCTGGTTTGTCCGTTCTGTCTGTCCGTCGGTTTCGGGGTGGTACAAAGAACTGAACTGTAGTCACGTGCCGAACTGAACTGTAGTCACGTGCCGAACTGCTGCCACAGGTTCCGCCAGAAGTTGCTGGTGAATTTCGTGTCGCGGTCGCTAATGATCGCTGATGGTATCCCGTGCAGTCGAACGACGGTGGAGATGAAGAGTCGAGCTGTTTCTTCGGCTGTGATCGATTTTTTGCAGGCTGCGAAATGTGCCATTTTCGTCAGTCGATTGACGACGACCAGGATCGCGTCGTTCCCACTCGCCCCGGCCGGTAACCCCGTAAAGAAGTCCATCGTCACTTGCTGCCAAGCACGCTCTGGGGTGTTATGTGATGCTCTCACTTGCATTCACGTCTGTCAGCCTCCCATCACATGTTCGTGCGTTGCATGCGTGGTGTGAGCGTGTGCAAGAATTTGTGTTTTGTGTGGTTTGGTTTTTCTGAGTGTGTGTGAATGTTATTTGGCTTGAGCAGATATCTGAAGTGACTCCTCTGCTCAAGAGCTCTCCGACGAACCAAGTATCGCCTCAATCGGAGCACGATCAAGAAAGTTACGAACGTTGGAGTTCGTATGTTTTTCATATTGGATTGTGGCAACTGTGGGAAGTTGTGGGGTTGACTCAATATGGGGTATGAGAAGAAGTAAACGAGAGAATGAGTGAACTATGAACGAGGTGAGTACAAATAGGAATCCCTAATTGGGTTGTACCCCCTATGGGATACCCCACTATAGCCTACACAAATAAGTAAGCTATATTGTTCTGACACAGCCCCATAGGCAAAGTGGGGGAGAACAAGGGGTCACAAGACCAGTCAAGCAAAGCAAAGCAAAGCTCAGGGTGGATCACAAAGTCACCACACATTCCGAGCACAAGTTCAAAGGCCAGAAGGCCAGTTCACATGCAAGATCATATATAGAGATATACAAGAGGCAAGCAAGCAAGAGCAAGAGTATATATAGGTAAAAGTACAAGCAAGGTCAAGAAGTGAGCAAGTGAGGCAAGGCAGGCACAAGGCCCAGCTGC